GCTGGAAGGCAGCCTGGCTGCCCTACATCTCTCCCTGTTACTAAACTGCTCTTTAGCACTAGGCGTCTAAAAAGCTAGTACTAGCTTAACTAGACAAAGGCCGAAGCACTATAGTCACGCAATACAGCACAACGTACCAAATTGTAACTAGTTAGATAGAACGGCCTTTAGCCAAAGTCCTACATAGCCAACTGCTGATACAGGACTATAATGGAATAATAATAATAATAGATCACCTGATTTTATCTGCGACAATGCATCCAAGGCGTCTTCACGAGTTATCGATTTTACGGTTCCTTCTCGGCCTTACCTAGATTGAAACTAGTGAAGTAGTATATTTCAACCCGACTATACTGGAAATAGTACTGACCATAATCAAGGTCAGCATCCCCGGTGGTAATCCGGTAGATCTATACGATACGGTAAACCAGGTCGGGCATTCGACAGAGGCCCTAGCAGAACGCTAATCATCATGTCATGAGCTTGGCCTTATGTCACTGGGCCGCTATAACCAAAAAATGTAGCAATGATCTACCTTCTGTTGTTCTTCTACACAGGATAATATACATGGGTTCCAAAACAACTTAGGGAATTCTTGAAATACTTCCAATAAATGCTTAGGCAACCCACGGATGGTTCGTGTTGGTTTCAGTGGGCCCTTCATCGAGTAGACAAACTCAGGGGAGCTTCTAGACCGTCGTCACCTAGCCATACTTGATCATAGCTTTTTTTTGTGAAACAAGTTCAGCAGCCATCAAATTGTCAAAGTGGTTATCAGCCAACCAAACAGAGGATATCAACAACAAGGCTTACTCTAACTCGTAAAAACATGATTCTAGACACTGATAGTAGCAGAGTTCAACGTCCAATAAAGGATTCACCCATGTATGCTCCTGACACGAAGAACGCATACATACAAGCGCGACCTATGTTGAGATGTCTATAAAATGGAGAATTCTGGAGAGAGTTGCACAGTATCAAGTCAATCTTGTTCTTTGCTAGTCACTACTCTTATAGTTTTCCCTTTACAACCATTGTTCTCGCTCTACTATCATCATCACTAGAATAACTGAAGACTGAATAACGCTCACGCACAACGACATAACAGTTATGCATTTCGTCAAGTATATAGCAGTATCTTTTATACTTTATACAGGAACGCTCGCAGGAGGTAAGACTATGTATATGCCTTAAGTTTGCACGACTACCAAGATATATCAGTGCTAATACTATATAGTTGCACTTTGCGATGGCAATTACGCGGATTGTATTAGCAAATGTCCTTTACTCCCTAAAGCACAATGGCTGAGTTGTTGCACGCCCTGTACCCAGGGTCATTGCTCTACTGCCAGAACTACCGGCCCGAGGGCCCAGTGCTAAATCATTCCATCCCACTTAGGTAAGAGCGGCATAGAACAACCCTCTATCTCAAAACTGAAGCTTTTTAGATAGTTGCCATAGCCTCTCGAGCCAAGCTACTCAAAAGCTACCACGTCTTATCCTAGGGCATTCGAGTGTTAGTGTCAGCTGCTTTATGTATTACGGCAAGTTCGCATGGCCGCGTGGATGGTTCATCATTTGATTAGTTTCATTGATCGTTTCTGCATTGGGAGATTTCTCGCGAACCAGCCTTGGATGAGCAGGCCCATATCATTGTTCATTCTTGCTTTCCCGAAATAATGCTACATATTCTTGTCTACCGCCGACGTCCCCACTATCATCGATTAGAAGTAATCTCAGGTGTAGGTGCTGCTGTAAGAGTAACTGGAAGTATCGTCGAAGTACTTGACCACCCCTGGGTATACCTCGGATCACCTGCGAGCGTTGTAATCGGAATCCAAGTCGCATCAGCAGCAGCCGCCCGATGAACCTGAGAATTTTATTTCAATGCTTCATGTCCAGTGCATCAACGAGACTTACCACACAGTTCTGGTAACTACCTTCTTGTTTTGCAGCCAGGCCGACCAAGTCAGTCGGTAACAAGAGCGCTGGGTTGTAATCATACGGGTTTATGGTTGGTGTCACACATATAGTGCTAAGTACGTCGGTGCAAGTGCTTATAGCATTGTTCCATTCACAAAAGGTTTGTTCCGAGCAGATTTCTGTCGCTGAAACTGGCCAGTTCAACGTGCTTAGCGCAAAAGGCTTCGGACTCTCGAAGGTGGGTCTCCTAACCCTCGACCGCCTAGTAAGTGTGGAAATTGGCGACGGTGGAATTGATAGTGTAAGCGATGTTAGTTGAGAACCGCAGCCAGTGAATAAATTTGTTGGCACACCGCGGAGCTGCCCATATAAGGTTGGGATTGATATGTAGATCGAAGGCGAGGTAACTGTAAGGCCGTCAATTACCTTCACTACAGGTGACTTGGGCTTCCCTGCTTCTGGTGTTGGACGACTGATTGGCATGAGTGTGTTTGTTTGAGGGCAGAGTGGCTGAGTTGCTGGTGTCGGCCAGTAGTAAATCTTTATACCGGATCCTGCCAAGGTGCATGGGCCGGAGGGAACAGAAGAGCAGGCTCTGTATGCCTCGCATGGGACCGGGAATTGTGGGATTGGGGTTTCTGTTGCATGAGCCAAACTCCAGCTCGAACGGAGTTTGGCACAATCATTTCCATTTACCGTGCAAGTTGGCGTCGGAATGGTAATGCTCGGATGGGTGGTAACTGCTGTTCTCGGATACCATTCTGTGACAAATGCGCTGTATTGGCGGCCCAGTAGACGAGGGATGTTATCGCAAAAGGTTGAAGTTGGAACAGCTGGGAACGTGGTAAAGAATACAGTCGAGGTAATATTGGTCGTGAACGTTTCAGATGTTATACTTGACACGAGGGAGTCATATCGAGTCCACGAGTTGAGACAAGCCTGAGCAGAAGGTGGTGGAGGTGCGACTGCATTTGCTGTCAATGTTAGTACAACGAGCTTTCATCGCTCGACATTCGGGAGTTAGAATTATGTCCAGCTCGCTTGAGAAATTTATTACCAGTTGCATGTGTGGTCAGGGCTAAAAAAAGGATTTGGAGACTGAATGGACTGATCATTCTTGGCGAAAGCTTTTTTCAGAACCCGGTTTGTGATTGTGATTATTGAGAAGGAGTACTTTGTAGACTGTTATATAAACGGGACGGAACGGACGGTCATTGCATACATATATTCAATAAGGGAAACCATTCCAATTTAGAACCTAACCGAGGCCCAGCTTGACCAATGGCTTACACATTCAATAAGTAGAATGTCTGATCTGTAGTCCGCATTAATATCGCCGGATAATGAGTACGGTGAATATACGAATGACTTCGAAGGATTACAGCAATTACGAGTGTAGAATGGATGGCCTAAGTCGTTCTATTCCGGAACGTTTCGTTCTTTTATTGCCAAGGCTGCGGCCCGTCGCTGGCTAGTACGCTTACGGGGTGCGAGTGCAATTTGTGGCGCTCGACAAAGTGTGGGCTTGCAGGAGCTGAACAGTACAACAAGGATATAGACAAGAAAATTTTCATCCTTACGTCCCTTTCGGGGCTGTTGCACAAGGCTGGGCGCCAATTATCCTCAGTTGATAGGTCTATATAGGGCAACCCATTCACGACACTCAACTGAACCAGACACATGACACCAGGCGAACGCGCATTGAGGATAATAATGTGTGTCTCGCCTGATGCAATTGTATAACTAGATAGTCTAAATCATCTAGCTACATGTATACCTCTTCACTTCGCTGTTTCGGACCCTACAATCTGTAAATTTTCACTTTTACTAAGCGATGATCTTTGATCTGAGACTCTTAGTATCTGCAGCTACTCTTGCCTCTGTATTACCAATTTGAGCTGAATGAAGCTGGCGGATATAGGAAGGCTCTCTGGCTCCAGTACTCGTCTCTTTTCAGCGCTTGTTGACGCCACTAGAGAAAAGACAGTGTAGCAATTAGCCATACACACTAGCCAAATCTTCCAATCTAACTAGGCTGTCAATTATCCAAGCCTTGGCAAGTAGATTTTGAACGTGGTTCTTTGTGCCATCTTCTAAACCAATCGAGTTTAGTTCCCAAACGGCCAGGCCTTTTCCCAAGCCTGCCTTTCCCTCGCGTTGGTGACAAATGCACTAATCATCTGATCCTTCATCTGTGACAAGGCGTCCAGTACTTCTTCATAATCATCTGCCTTCACTATGCCTTCCCAGGGAACAAATCTCCTAAGCTCTCTTTTATAGACCTCATTGCTTCCATACCTCGTGTTGCACCTTCAGCATCAGCCTTAAGCTCCTCTCTTTCCTTGTTCGAGAAGGCAAACAGGTAATTTGAATCTTCTTTGCCTGAAAACTCATCCCAAGTTTGTTCAAGCTTTGTGATTTTGCCAAGGTAAAGCGCCTCACCATCAATGAGGAGATTACGTGCCAACAATAGAAGCGAGTACTTTCCCGTATGCTGAAACCGGATCGCCGCATAAAGTCGAGGAACTCGGTGATCTATGAGAGTGTGGTACAACGAACAGAGTGATTGCTGTAGATATAGCGTGTTAGCTGCCTCTCTCAGATGGTTTCAATTCTTCCCAGTCTTTCGGAGGCTGTGGTCATTCCACACCGTTAATTGGAGGACCAATATAATTAATAATTTGGGGATACCCAGTATGAAAGTAGAGTGGAGATTTTTCCGTTAACTGCCAGTCAATAAGGCCCACAGCTTCGGTAGGCTCAGCGGGGTCGACAAAGATGTTAGCAACATGCAGGTCATCATGCTAAAGATACGCGGACGATATCGTTTGATCTTCTGGAAGACGCTGTTTTATGAGATCGAGGTAGCAGTGTAAAGCCTTGACCTTCTTTCCCTTCGTTAGCTGATAAGTTCCCGGGCCACATAGGGTTATCGGAGATTTGGGTAATTCGGAAAGCTGATTGATACACGCTATTTCACGTTGTCCGATGGCGCGATGATACGCCTTCAGAGAATCCCCTTGTCTTTTTTCGGTAGCCTACTTACAGGATCCTCTATCGAAATGAATGGCTGCTCTTCCGTTATCGAATGTTTCGCGTGCTACGGACAGGTCAATAGCAAATCTTTTGTCTGCTGTATTACCACCATTTGCGTCAATGTAGAGCGGCTGGCTACTGCGCGTATCTTCTAGGTCTCTTGAAGAATACAAGCTTCCATATCTTGTGAAAGCGACCGAAGTCCAGACTTTCTAAAACCAGCGATTGATCTGACAATAGCAAATCTATCTTGTATGCTCATTTTTGGCCAAACTTGTTTTAGTTGCACCCCTGGACATCTTCCATCATGATGTATTCTGACCCAACTGGATCCTCATGAGCCTGGAAACACCAGGCCAACACTTTGGGGATAGGTATTTCAAGAATTCTGAGGGCCTAAAATCTGTAAGCAAGATACAAAAACCCAAAGCCTGCTAATGGAACTTACGAAATCCATCGTCGCAACCTCGCTCGCAGTGATCCAATGAGGAAGACCAGCATTTGGATTTGGAACTTTGACCACTACCCGAGAGCGATTATTTATAATTAACAGCATACTTTTGTTGTACATACTATTTGGGTACTTTGCAACGTTCATGTATGTTTTTGCACTAACAACATCTGCCGCACGGCGTGCAAGCTCATTGACGTTGAAACGCACATGGCGCTGGGACGTTTCTTGCTTCTCATTGTTAACGAAACGGCATCGGGTAAAGTTGAACAGATCTCGGTCGTAATACACATCTGAATGAATTAGTAAAATCATCAAATGCCTTGTCGTCGGATGCTCTTACCAGGAAGTAACGCTCGCGGAACATGATGAGGATGAGCGCGCAGATTTGTAATGATCTGGCAGCCTCCTTGGTTCCAGTGGAATATGTATTTAAGTAAAGTTGTCCCTGTCCTCGTGTTGGTGTAGCACAGGGGTCCTGCAGATAGACCTATCGTGGGAGGAATTAGCGTGGGGTTGGTCTGTTCACTCAAGAGAGTTCAGTATTGCCGAGACGTAGTTGCCGAGAAAGTAGTCTGCTATAGAATAAAGTCCATGTGTAGTGTCGCGATGACAATGCGCATACTAGAAAACCCAAAGAGCTTGGCATAGTACTATACTACACCAACTCACCAGCCGTAGCCTGGCAACCAATCATGGGTATCCCAGTTTAGACTTCAACGACATTAAGCGAGGAGCCGCGAAGGCAAGGGTTTCGGCGCTAGCGCGCAGCGGCACAGGCAACAGTTACGCTATCCTCTCGACGTGCATGAATTATTGCTTCACTTGTCGCAAAATCTTCACCGGCGTGGCCGTTAGAAACAGAGAAACGCGCCTGCCAACACTCACTCACACAGATAAACTCGTACCCACCATTCTTCGTTCATATCATACCTATCGCTATGCGAACTATACAAACTATCACAGCATTTCTAGACCACATCTATCGGATCCCCGTACACTGAGAAGTTGAGCTGGAAGAGGATCATGAGCCATTTTTAGGATACTGGGGCTATACAATTTACAGAACATATTATGGGCCTGGATCTGATGAACAGTGGTCAAAGTTGCTGGAGAATATCACCGACGGAGTCAAGAAAGGCCTCTTCAATATCGACGAGGCGGAAAAAGATCCTGAGGCTGTCACGAAAGCACAGGCTCGATTTCGGCTCGACACGCGTTCAGCTCCCGCTACCTTAGACGGACGGATACTGGAAGATATCCAGCAGGTCTACTTAGAAGGGAGTGGGGGCCAGCCGATGAGGGGGACGCAATTCAATGATTGGAATACTGCTATATTTCTGCTGGCCGACTCTCAAGTGCTAAAGGATCCTGACCTACGGGTGATAAAGGTTGTGGACGCGAATCACGACCCCGTTGCCGATATACCAAAGAATATCCGGTGTGGCCCCCAGAGTAACTTCGGATGGATAACCATGCCAACGACAGCCGTTGTAGACTCTTACATCAGGATGGACACATTTACGTTTGAGCACATCATCAATCACGCAGGCGGTGGGCCGGGAGTTCTTTGGGATCCAGATGTACACTACTGATAGATTGTGCCTTGTGTCGAGGAGGAAGAAATCAAGGTTTTAGTTGTTTTAATGGAGTCATGATGACGGTGATGGTGTCAATGGCTATGTTTGAATGACTGAAATGATTGAGGATTCAGGGAACGCTGCTCAGGCCATTGCGACTCGATATCTCCGCGGTCTTTCCTTGTCGTTATCGCCCTTGTATGCAGCCTTAAACAAAGGCAGATCTGGTACACCAAAGTGCAGCTCCTATTCCACAGCAGCAAATTCCATAATTACGGTCATTATAACGGAGAACTTTCTGGTAAGGGTGACCTTACTGTTGGCAATGAGATAGCATACATCGTCATTCCTCACTATACAAGAACACGCCGAACACCAACTTTGTGGTTTTATGGTACCCTTCAAAATAATCCAATTTTTGTTAGAAATCACTCCTCAAGCGCCTAATAAGGCAATTCACAACTTATATCGGGCCCAGCCCTCC